TATAAGGGTTTGCAAACGTCGCACCTTTTCAGGCTATAGAAGAAAACAATGATTGAAATTCTTGAGAATTTCGAATGTTGTTGAGAAACACAAAGTGAATATGGCAAAATTAATAATTGGTATTAATTCTACCATATTGGGGGGTAATTGTTGACATACAAAAAGTTCTGCCCAAGTCGAATAGCCCAAGGAATGAAGCTCAACTGGAAAATCCCCAAAATCAGATAGTCCAAAGAACGAATCAGTCAGGCAATGCAAGATAAATGCCCAAATAAGGAAGCCCATGAACGCAAAAATACCATCGCCCAAGGTTGCAAGTCGCCCAAGATTTGAGCGAATGAATTGCCATGCAGTCGCCCAGAGCTGTGACTCTGCTCTCGTCCAAACATTCGAGTCGCCCAACATCTTAGCAAACATAAGAAATTATGATTACCTAAAAGTGTAGTTAATGAAGCAGTTATTGGGTAGTTCAATATTCTATCACGTTCCACGATTTAAGGAATTCAATTGAAGACGGTTGAACGACAAAAGTAATGGTAGCAGTTAGAGAAGGCAGTTCCATGACAAGTTGGCCACTACAAGAAAAGTGGGCAGTTATAGAGCGATCAAGCAGTTTCTTAAGCAGTTGATCACGAAAAAATCACTCGGGGAGTATAAAAGGAAGAAAAGACATAAAGCAATGGACCCGAATCAAACACTCTCAAACAGAGAATATGTAACTTTCAATTTTTTAGTTTAGATTTAAATACTTCTTTTACAGTAACTCGTGTGCTTGCGCCACTTGGAGGCATTCTGTTTTTTACTTTCCAATTGTAAAGTCATCGCCAATAAAAACGCCCCTTTTTTGAATTTTGTCTCAAGAGGTTTGTCCCTTACACAATCGTCTGATCCATTTTTAATTGTTAGCGACTAACCCGCGCAAAACAGGCATATTCGTCAATGCATTTACTATAGCTTCATCAGTAGTGCCTCCAGATCAAAAGAGAACGGTACCAATTCCATATATCCAATCTGACTAAACATATTCATCAATGCATTTACTATGTGCAAATCTCTGTTAACATCACTTTTGATTGCCAGTGGACTAGCATACCCAATTTAAGGCACCCATATTCTGCACAAGCCTGTTGATAAGTGTATTTTATACACTTATTCGAGTCCTTAAAACAATAATATTTAGTGTTTCTCCGATAAATTATGGTCTAAATTATTGCAATTGATGTTAAATAGGTAAAAGTCAATATTGGTACAAGAAAGTGGAAGCAACAAGAGAAAAACCAAGAAAAAGAGTGAAATCCAAAAGTTGGGGACCAAGTTGTAACAATTTAATATGTTGTAAAAATAAAAGAATTCAAGGATTGAATTGCATTATTTTGAAAGATTGAGGACTTGAGGGCTAATATTGCAATAAAGCCTTTGAATTGTGGTCAAATATGATGGCTGTGGCCTATGGAATTGTGATATATAAATATATATATATATATACATTTACGCAGGAGGTGAAAAAGAAGAGTCTCTTTTATATTAAAAAATGGGGCTACTGGGTTGGAGGTGATATTTATATATATACAAGTTTTCCATCTGTGCAATGTACAGTCTATGTCATTTTTAGGTAATATTAACGTGTCAAAATATTTATTCATTTCTCTCAATAAATCTACAAATTTGATTAATTATTTAAAATGATAAATGGAAATGTAATCTTCATATATGACACACATTTGACATTAAAAAAAAGTTTAAAAGTTTATTAGGAAATTTTCTAAATGACGTCAAAATTTTTATTAGATTATTTAAAAACTTAATTGATCGAGAGAA